TCAGTCAGGACCACGTGAAGAAGACGGTCACCATCGAGAACCACCCCCACCTTCCTCCACCTGCCATGTGCTCGGTTCACCCCTGCAGGTGAGAGAGTTTCGTTTGTCGCATTGAAAGATGGAGGAGATCCACCACAGCTGCACCTGTGATGTCAGAGTTGTTGGTGTCGAGGCTTATCGTGCTGAATGAATGAATCAGGAAAAGATGGATGACACTGTGATGGGTTCAATGATGCTGATTTGCACTGTAGACTTTTTCACTGAAGCCAAATGTTGTTACACACTAACTTTTTGTTTTCACTTGAAGCTGCTGATCCAGCCCAAAACCTTTGTTTCACACGTTCAACTCACTTCTCAGTGTGTTATTGTAAGGCAGAGCCCCTGCAACAGTACTGAGTGATCACATGACCATTAATAGCGAGTCAGCTGGTGCTGGTAGTCGTATTCTTCTTCTCTCCTCTGAGATAAAGGAACCCGTGGTTGTGTTTGTTTAAGGATGTCTGTGTCACAAACATTTTGACAAGAACCTTTAACCTTTGAACTCACGTGACCTTTGCTTTCAGGCATGCTGAAGTGATGAAAAAGATCATTGAGACTGTGGCAGAAGGAGGAGGAGAGCTGGGAGTGCATATGTATCCTTTGATGATGTCACGTGTCACCACAGCAACGCAATGAAAGGAAAGTGGCTCCATTGAGAAGCTTAACGTTTGTTCTTTAAATTTGTGCATGTTGTGTATTTTCGGCTATTTGCAAAAGGAAGTCGTTACAAAGGAAAGTGTCAGAGCTGTTGGAGGTGTGGGCGCTACAACAGCACCCAGCAGGCGAAGCTCTGGTCAGCAGCAGAGCCAAAGGGCAGACGGAGCACAGAGAGCCTGCATCGCTCTGCTGGCTCCTAACAGCATCTCTCCAGACCAGCCAAGAAGCTGCCTGAGGAGCTGCCAGGCTTACCAGGATAAGCAGCAGAGATGGATGTTTTTACCTACAGACCTCTGTACACCAACAGCTCATTGATGTATCAGCACTTCGATATTTTATAGGAGCCGCTACAGCCAGGCAGGAAGAGCAGCACTCGGCGGCTGGACTGCAGCGAGTGTTCGTGGTCAGGCAGGCGGTCACTCTACCCCACCTCTGTTTCCTTAACTGATGCTTTC